CCGTGGTTACTGACGCTGCCATATTTAGTATAGTTGACTTTTTATTATTTTTACTTTTATAGTAACTCTTTTGGAAATTTCTCTTGATAATAAAAATGCTGCCCAAGAATTTTTATCGATATTGGTACCAGCTGTGCAAAGAGAAATTAATTTAATTGGAAGAAACAAGTAAGTATTTCTCACAAGGAAACTGTTGGAGTGTCAAATACACCTACAACTGTCGTAAATGATTGGGCTATAATTTGGATATATGATTATTGATTAGAAATGAATTTGGCATCAGAGTAAGGCATTAGGTGCCATCTCTTATTAAAATTAATAACTATAATATTTAATTTAATTAATTTAGATTAAACTGGAAGAAAAGAATCGGCCCGAAGCGGGACTCGAACCTGCAACTCCCAGTTACTGTGCAGACGTGTTGCCAGTTATGCTACCCAGAACTCCAGTTTGATCTTCTTTTCCAACATATATAAGTTAAGAAATAACCACCAATGGTTATTATGGCACCAACTGGGGACACATTCATGCCCTTGGCCAGAATCATTTCTAATCAATAATCATATATCCAAATTATATCCCAGTCATTTACGGCAGTTGTAGGTGTATTTGCTTAAGATATTGGGTTTTTGATTGATGTGTATATTTATATGTTGGAGTGTCTTTTAATAAATATTAATAAAATTTAGTTAATAATTATGTTAAAAGTATACAAACTCTATATTAAATTTGTAATATTCACTAAAAGGGTTAATCAGAGTTAATAGCAATCAAATGTTTTACTATTTTAAATTAGTTTAACACAAATATGCAAATTTTTAAAGTGAAAGGGTCACAGAGGAAGACAATGATATTACATTTACAGAAATAAATAAATAAATGTTATATGAAAGATTAGATTGCGATGGTTGGCAACATGGCATTTGATCACTGTCCCCAACCTATGTGGCATCAGACTACGGCTAACTCAACTTTTTAGGTGGACATGCTTCTGTCCGGTCGCTTATCTCACTGCACGCTCCGACCACTGTTTCCATGGTCGATGTAATTGTAACTCTTGTATATAGTTCTGTAAAATAAACTTGTAACAACGACCATTGGACTCCATCGTCTATCCTGGAATCATTCATTTGACATGACAACGAACTATTCGTAGATGCAATCGGATTGATCGACATAACTGATTTCCTTCTCAAGAGGTATGCCTTAGTGGCCTCCTCACTGGTGAACCAGATGTGACCTCCACGACATAGTAATCTTGACTAGGTGGTCCCAGCAACGCCAAACATTTCAAAACCCGAATCCCAGACTTTATCGACAGGAATCCAGGTAGGCCTCCTTTTTTCTCTCCATGCTTGTCAAGCAGCCAAACTAACAGTTAGTTCAGCTGCTTGAATGGCGTGGAGAGATTGGGTTGTGAAATGGTCGGTGTCGCTGGGACCACTTAGTTCAGATTATTACGTCATGGAGGTCACATCCGGCTCACCAGTGAGGAGGCCACTAAGGCGTACCTCTTGAGAAGGAAATCGGTTATGTCGATCAATCCAATTATATCTACGAATAGTGTCATTGTCATGTTGAATGAATGATTCCAAGATAGACGATGGAGTCCAATGGTCGTTGTCACAAGTTTATTTTACAGAACTATATACAAAAGTTACAGTTACATTGACCATGGAAATAGTGGTTGGAGCATGCAGTGAGGTGAGCGACTGGACAGAAGCATGTCCACCTATGGCTACGTCCTATGTGGCAGCGTCCAGCAACTGTGGGCAGAAATAATCTTTGTACGCACTTCCAACTCATGAGCGACTTCTGTCCAGAGTGGACACGTGCTGTTTACAAGATGGCAGCGAGAGACTTTGTCGAATGCTACTATGGAAAATATGACAAGCATTAAAACAGTAAATTTGACAGTTAATTGTTATCACTAACTAGATACACAACAAATATAAAGAATCTTTATAGAATAATAAGTTTAAAAAAGTTTTATTTTTTTAAACAAAATCAGAAATTATTAAATTACGTAAAAGATTATTAATTAAAGTACATACAACATATATACATAATTTATTTGTCATCCTGTTTACATTCATCTTCAAAATCAGCCATTTCTTCATTGGAAGCATGAGTAGTGGAAATGGCAATCAAACTGGCTTGGTAGCTGCTTCTTGCACGCGCATGTAGAAGCGTCATCTGGTGGTTTCTACATGCTAAACGCAGTTACTCTGGACATACACATTTGCTTGAACCAGTTTGTCCGCTTTGCTTGGAAGCGTGTTCATGCCCGTGGTTACTGACGCTGCCATGTAGGATGTAACCTACAAAGTTGAGTTAGCTGCAGTCTGACGCCACGTAGGTTGGGGACAGTGGTCAAATACCATGTTGCCAACCACTGCAGTCTAATCTTTCATATAACATTTATTTGAGTTTATACCTTATTCTACTCTGTAAATGTAATATCATCGTCTTCCTCTGTGACCCTTTCACTTCTAAAAATTTGCATATTTGTGTTAAACTAATATAAAATAGTAAAACATTTGATTGCTATTAACTCTGATTAACACTTTTAGTGAATATTACAAATTTAATATAGAGTTTGTATACTTTTAACGTAATTATTAACTAATTTTATTAATATTTATTAAAAGACACTCCAACAGTTTACTTGTAAGACAAAATTTATAATTTATTGTGTAACTTAAAACAACTAATGAAAGGAGAATTAGTTAGAAAAGCAAACTGATTTTTCTTTATATAAATCATTAATACATTATTAATACTGAGATGTGGAGGCATAAATATTCCATTTGTTTAGAGGAATTTATTTTATTTTTATATGAAAGTTTTCTTATTGTTTCATTATTTGTTACATTAATTATTGAATCTATAATTATTTTCAAATTTTAATATAATAAATGATTTCTATTATTTTTCTTACAGAAATTCTGCTGCTGAAATAATGTGGTGGATTCCAGTTGTAGCATTTTGTCAAATTCATCAACTTGAATATGTTACAATATATATGAAAGAAAGAGCTCAAGCTGGTGATTGGTTAAAGTTTTTAATATTTGCCCAGCTGTTTCAAATTCCTCCAGTACTGGTATTAAAGTTGAATTTTATCATTTATATTGATTTATTATAATTATAACTTTTTCTGTTATATTTTATTTTAAAGTGAATACCATATTTTGATATATTTGACTGCTCTTTTTAATAAAACAAACCATCACATTTTAAGAGAAAATTTATATGTTGGTTTTTGTTAATCCGTATGTTTGTTGTTAGCTTGTCATAATGGAAATAAAGCTTAGAATGATAATATAACATATGTGATGTAATAGAATTTTTTTTTTTTTTTTTGTTGTATTTTAAAATTTAATTGTATTGAATCAAATAAAGAAAAAATAAATAAAATTTACATATAGACATTAACTTACTTCCTATATTATTTGTTAATGATGTAAGATAAATCACTACTGTAAAAACGGATATAATGAGTAATGGGTATAACTTGGTTTCTTCATTGTCTTTACAGCTGAGTTTGACTGTGTATATATATATATATTTTGCTGAGTGAAACTGATGTTGATAAAACACTTATTAAGAGAGTTTAATTTTCAGGAGAGATATAAACATTTTTAAATGTTTTCTTCATAGTCGTTATGCAAGGTTTTTTAAAATAAATTTTACTAATAAATAAATCTTTAATAAAATAATTAATGTTTCTAAAAGTTCTCAGGTTATGGTTCTACAAAACATTTTTTTGAAATTCAAGTTAATTCAAAAGCAAGTTAAAAAATAAAATAAAGTTACTTTTATGTTCCATTTGTAAAGTATCAATATTTTTCTTTTAAATGATTCCTTATTTATTTGTTTGGAATTTTATCTAAAAAAAGAAAGTATCACAATACTCTCTCTGATTACATTTTGATTTTTTTTAAAGGTTCTGAAGCTATTAAGTGAATTTAGTAACAAATATCTAGTTGATCATCTTTCTGGTGCTTTTCAACAAAGACATTCACTTTTGGTGTTTGTTGATAATGAAAATGTATCATCATGTGTTCGAAGTATGAAAATCAAACAGACAAGTAAAGAATTTCGAGAAACTTTATACACTCGTATTGGAGTTACAAAAGATGCAAAAGTAGCAAGTTCAGGTAAAATTCATCTTTTAAATTTTCTGTAACTAAATATTTTAATTATAATAATGATTAAATTGAACAATATTATTTTGGAATTCTCTGAGAAAATGCATTCTTTTCCATTTCAATTTTCTTATTTACTGAAATAAACTAATGAAGTTTTTGAAATGTATGAAAAGTATTTTGAAATAAATATAAGGTTTGTCTATTAAGATTCAGAATTAACACATGTAAATTATAAAACTATATAAGAACAATATCAATGAATTCATCAAACACGGTTTCAAAGACAACACATCAATGATTTATGATAGCTGATCAATTTGTTTCTCTATCAGCTTGTTCATGTGTCAGTTTTTTTATAAGTATATAGTTACATTAGAGATTTTGTGACTGTTTGAATGATTGAGCAAATAAAAAGCATCTTGCATGTAGTGAAATTATAACAAACCTACAAATTTATAAAACAAAGTAATGATGTTTTCTATTATTTGCATAGTTTGTAAGACTCAGATAGTCATGAGGATGTTAGAAAATAACCAATGTTTTGAATGATGATAAAATGTGAATTTCAAAAATAGCTATAAAAAGCAGCTTGCATTTAATCTTAAAATGATTTTCAGCTGATGAGAGAAGGAAAACTCATTGAATGACATTTTAGTTTCAGGAAAAAGAGTTTGTTCTTACTGCATAATAATGCATAATATCATTCTTCAATGATCAATGCAAAACTAAACCATTTCTTTCTTTCTTCGAGTTATCTTTTATTTCTTTAATTATTTGAAGACATAGTCCTCCCCCCAAAAAACAGGAATCACTATTTATTAGCTTTGTGTTCCGGACAATACATTCTTGGTGACTAACCTTCCTTTCTAGGCTACAAGCTGCCAAAAAGTCTTTTAAAAACACAAGAATACATCCAATTAAAAGAATGTATTGTCTGGAACACAAAGCTAATAATTAGTGGTTCCTTTTTTTTGGGAAGGACTATGTCTTCAAATAATTAATCATAATTATTGCCATCGGACAAAAATCTACAAAAGACTATTTCTTGTTATTTAAAATCCAATTAACACAGAAGGAAAAGAATTTTGAGAATATATTAAAAGCAATAGAACAAAAGAATTGTAGGAAGTAAAATTTAAATGACTTTCAAAGAAATCTTGAAAACATATTTTTAGTAAGGGCAAAATTATGTATTTTTTTTTAATGATTTAGATTTGAACAATATTAAATGTGTTGCCCATTTTAATGTATGGTTTTCTTTAACAATTAAATTTCAATATTAAAAAAATTAAACATTGTATTTATTTACCCAGCTGTTTTATCCAATTCATAAATATCTTTGCTAATACCTCAGGTATCTATTATTTTTAATAATCTCATAGACAAGAAATATCTTAAAAAGGTGATAGTTTTGACACAACTAGACTATTTTGACAGGTTAGTGAGAATTTGTGTATTAAGTGGTTCAGTTTGAAGTTGAGTAACTTAATATATCTAGAATTACATTTTGAGACACTATGATCTCTCAAAATTATCCAATCAACAATCTGCTTAAGATGTAGACACTCTTCTAAACAATCAGAATACAGCACCCTGTTGCTTTTATTATTATTATTTATAATATTTGAAAACAAATTTTTTCCTATAATAATTCCATTAAAATATAAAGTTTGGCACACAGTTTAGTAAGTTTGTCTTATTTTGCTTAAATAATTAAAAAATCTGAAAAATATCTGTCCTTGAAACATTTTTATATAATATTTTTGTCTTATTTATTAATATATATAATATATTAATATATGGCTTATTTTATTTTTGAAATCTATTACTAATTTTCATTAGGTTCTGCAACAGAGATTTCAAGTGATGATGACACAAGTTCATTGTGCAGTGAAGACACAGTTTCAAGTAATGATTTGGGTAAGAATTTTTATTAATAAAGATATCCATTAATTTCAAGAAGATTAATTGATAAAGGCAAAAAATTATTAGATATTTTAAAACAAAAATTTAGTTATATTCTGAGATTAATTTTGTATTTTTATCTTTCAACATATAAAATTGTTATAAATCATAACTTTCTGGTAATTTGGGGAAAAATAAGTATAATTCAAATGTAAAGTTTTCATTTGACAATTGTTATATAAATTTTATTATTATTAAAAGTTTTAAAAAGAATATATTTATAATTTTTAAAATATTTGTTTTTTATATTCAATATTTTTCAGTATTACTCTGTGATGATTTATGGGGACAAATATTAATATGTCATAATAGTGATAGTCCATGGAGATCATTATTACAAGCAAGCTGTTTACATTGTAATCCTATTTTTGCTGTGATTGCAGCATCTTATGAAGTAAGATAATCTAATAATTTCAGATTTATTATGATTTAACATGTATAATATATGGTCATAATTTTGCAAGAAAGTTTTATTTTAAATACCTCGTATACATTTTTCATACATTCAATTATCAACTGTAAAAAGCCAGCTTGAATGTTAAAAACAATTTATATTTTAAATACAGTAGATCCCCCTATAAAACCGTTTCCTATAGTTATGATTCCTATAAAAATTGTGGCATTATCCGTAAACAACGGTAAAAATAACTCCTATAATACGTAAAACGTCATCGGGCAGCCGAACTACTTACCCGCCGTCCGTAGCGCCACGCTACGGAGAGATTTCTATCGTCTGGACAGTATTATATAAATTATATATAAATTAGGTACTGTACATATAATTATATATTAATTATATATAAATTAGGTACTGTATATATAATTATATATTAACTTAATTTATTGTAACTTTATTATAATTAAATATATATTTTTCGCCGTCTAGCGTCACGCTACGGCGAGTTAGGCGACCTATCGTCTGTTTAGTACTGTAATTTTATACATTTCTTGTGAAAGAAACATTTCTTATTTAACGGCCATAAAAATTATTTATATTAATGATGTCTCCAAAGGTCAACGAAGTTTTCGCAGAAAAATAATATCAGAAATCGCGGCCGCAATTTGATGCGCTGTTCCGCGACGAAACCAAGCTTTAGCAACGGGCGTAGTCGAACGGTACACACTCGGTAAGCAATCCTACAATTTTTTGTTTATAACGTAGTTTATACGGATTATTTTCAAAAAAATATACGTATTTTGGAAATGTTGAGTCGAATTAGTCTAGAATCGATTAATTTTATGAAAGAAAACCTTTCAAACAGCCGTAGTCCGTAAACTATGATTCCTACAAAATTGATTCATAAAGAACGGAACGTATCTACCGTCTTATAGGGGGATCTACTGTATATAAAAAATTAATTGAAAATTTAAGACTTAAGTTTCATTATAAATATCAATAATAATTTTTTTTGTTTAGTATTGTGATATTAAGTGATGACAAAAATTATTAAAGAATAAGAATTATGAGTCAACCAAAACTTAATGTAGAGAATATTTTTTGAAAAACTTAAAAATTAATTTAAGTTAAATATTTATTATGATAAATTATATTTAGAATCTTAATTTATTATTTTGACTTCTACAGTCTGAAGATTATAATTCTGATTCATATAAACTTAATAGTTTATATGAATCAGAATTATATGTGATTATTAACTAGTTTCAGTGGTGTAGCATGGGTGTCAGCAGCCTGGGGCGGAGGAAAATTTTGCCGCCCCCTTATTTAGGTATTTCAATTTAAAAGACTAAAATTCAGTTTTGTCACAGAATAAGTAATGAAAAATTCTGTGCTCATTTGAATTGATCTGAATTGTAGGTGCAACAAAAATATGAAATGAAATGGTTCAAATTTTTACAAGATATTATTATTATTTATAGTGAAATTTTGCCACCTTCTAAAAGTGCCGCCTGGGGCAGGCTGCCCCTGCCGCCCCCACTATGCTACACCACTGACTAGTTTATGTGATTATTAATATCCAGCTATTAATGATTATATAGGTTACAAAAATTATGAAAATCTGAAAATATTAATATATTGTGCTTTTTTTGTAGTTGGCAGAAATTGGCAACTGTACTTAGAATACACAATATGTCCTGTATTTATTTTTTATTCTGACATTCTTAGGACACAATATTTCACTTAAAAACTTTAAAAGTAGTCTATTTTGATCTTTGTTTTTACTACTGAAATGTTTTCTCAGGAATATTTTAATCTTTCCTACAAATAAATCTTTGAATTTCCATTATCTCATATTTAGATATGAAAAAGTTTGTAATCTTAATTTAAAGAATTGAAGGAGAAGAGTCTATCCCAGTGTTTCTCAATCTCTAACGAATCGTCGCCCCCTTCAACGTAGTATTTCCCCTTCAATAAAACCGTTACCTATTATCGCCCCCTTCACTTCAAAATTCCGATGCTGAGGACCAAGGCTAATGCCAAATTCGTACCGCATTGAATAGACTAGTGACTAGTATAATGTTGTTTGTTTAATTATAGTACAATATAACGAATAAAATATCTAATTATTCTTAATATATTGTTTTACTATATTGCCCAGAAAATTGTTTTCTGCTCCCCAAAATATAAATTGTTACTAATCGCCCCTCAACATGGAAAAACGCCCACATGGGGGCAATATCGCCCCCATTGAGAAACACTGGTCTATCCAAACACCATGATCCACTCATTTTCTTAAATATCTATATTGATCAAATATCTTATTTTATTTCTATTTAGTTTAATGAATGAACAAACCAAAACACAATAGAAAAATTTACATTTACTTTTAAATCAATATATTGTTAAATGAATTCATTTCTAGGGTTTTTTATTTATGTCATCATGATGGTCCTATTTTACCAGATAAAAATCAAGTTTATTTTAGCAAAACTTCTAAACTTCTTTTCATTAAGAAGTTGACAAAAGAATCAACTTACTCATCTGTATTTTCACCTGATAGAATTCTAGAAATTGTCATCATCATTTCTAAATCTGAATTTTTGTTCAATACCAACAAGTCTTCTTTGCAGTCATTACCCTATTTCTCCTTGAATATCATAAACCCTCTCACTGGCAAGAACACAGACAGGCTCTTAAGTCTAGTTAAGTTAAAGTTCCTGCTATTCTAGCAATATTATTTTTCAGAGTTTTCTGAAGTGAGTTACTATAAAGGTTAATTCTTTCTTTGGATTTTGTGATAAGAACATTTCCTGGTCTGTTGCAATGCAGTTAGCATCTTTGTTGGAAAATGATACATTTATCAATTGCCTTTAATTTAATAAGAAATATCAATCAATCAATCAATCGCATTTATTTGCTATGGCTTTTGCCTTTACAAAGGGGGTTACAAAATCGTGTAACATTAACATTAATTATTATACATGGTTTCAAAAATGTTAAAACTTAATTAATAATGTTATGTTAACATGTTTAATAAATAACAAAAAAATTTATAAACTTTAAATAACATGTCAGAGCTTAAATTATCATCGTATAAACAAAACATATCAAAATCAGTTGTCAATAAAGTATCCGTTAAATGTTCAGTAATTTCACAAGATACAAATAAGTGGTTTTTAATATTTTCACAGAGTCTGTTACATAAAGGGCAGTTAGAGTGGGCAGAAATATTCATTCTACGCCTATTTAATACAGTGGTACCTCAGGATACGAAATTAATCCGTTCCGAAACTGAGATCGTATCATGAAAATGTCGTAAGGTGGATCATCTTTTCCCATACGATTACATGTAAAACAAAATAATTCGTTCCAACGCGAAAAACATACTCAAATTAAAGCCAAGTAATATATTTAAAAAAATAACTGTAGTAAGAAAAACAAATGAAAAATGCGAACTAATGTAACATCGTATGGTAAGTTTTTGTTCGTATCGTGGAGCAAAAATATGTTCGAATTTCATGTCGTATCCTGAAAATTTCGTATGCTGGGGCGTTCGTAACCTGAGGTACCACTGTATAATAGTATAGTCATTAAGTCGCAATTGAATTATCAAGGATTTAATATTATAACTTAAATTTGATAATAAATAATATCGAGGTGTCCATGGAGCTATTAAGGAAGTCTCAAAAATCTACTCTTTTGCTCAATATATTGAATATCTTGAGCCCAATATTTATCTTTTAGGTTTTTATTTGAGACCTGAACATAATAGTCAGTAGAATAACCTAATTCAGACAATAAGTTTTCAACTGAGGAGGACCAAGTTACAAACAAAGAATTTCCAACTATTAATTTCAGTTTATTATAAATCAACTTTCTAGGGTCGTAATCTGGTAACTCCAAAATTTTACTCCAATATCTAAAAATAATCATTGTTAAACGTATAGACATTGGTGGACGACCCAGTTCAAATCTTAAAACAGGTCCAGGGACTGAACGATTAATATGAAATATTGATCTAACAAATCTCAATTGCGTCTTCTCCAATTTGTCAACAAAAGATGGTCCCCAAATAGGGAACATATACTCCAAACTTGAACGTATCAAGGAATCAAACAATCGATAATACGACTTAATGGAAGACTGCTTCATTCTGACCATAAGCTTTATTAAATTCGAAAGCTGAAGTTTATATTTCAAAAACAATTTATCTAAATCACGGGTTCCCAACCTGTGGGTCGCGACCCAGAAGGGGGTCGCGACGAGTTTTCTGTGGGGTCGCCAACTTATGCAGTAAACTAAAACAAAATTTTCACTATAATGCAATATTTATTTTTAATGGTGTCTTAAAGTTTGAATAATTTCATATATTTTTAAAAAATTAAAATGAGTGTAATCTGGGTACGCTAGTCTGTCACAGTTGGTTGAATCATGTGTTGAGAGTATTGAGAGGAATAAATTAAATGTTGAGAATGACATGAGGTTGGCGTTAACAAAATCTCACCTGCGAATTTTGAGGCTGGTTAATAATACATACAATTTCAACCATCTCATTAAATTAATTATTAAACATAATTTAAAATAAAATTATACTAAAAAACTAATTTCATTGTTTTTTAATTACCTTATTAAAACTACCTTTTTCAATTGTATCGGGGTCGCGGGTCACTTGACTTTTATAAAAAGGGGGTCGCCACCCGAAAAAGGTTGGGAACCATTGATCTAAATGAAAAGAAAATGAACCCTGTGGAGTAAAATAAATACCCAGATATTTGTAGGACGAGACAATCTCCAACTCAGAGTTAAATAAATAAAATTTATCAGCTTTCCCCAGTCTACCCCCTCTCCGAAAAACCATTACTTCAGATTTAGACTCATTAATAAATAGCTTATTAGACTTACAGTAATCTTGTAGGAGGTCAAGTTTTTTCTGAAGACCAATAGGTGAATACGAAAATATTATAATATCATCAGCAAACAAAAGACAGTTCAATTCTACCTTTGGTGATATGGATATACCCATTGTATTATAATTACAAAAAAATTCCAAGAGATCATTAACAAATAAATTAAACAAAATAGGACTAAGTGGTTCACCTTGTGGAAGCCCTTTATTAGCAGTTACTGCCTCCGAAAGACAATGATTAACTTCAATTTGATAAGTGGTGTTCGAAAACAATTGTCTTATAAGATTAATAAAAGATGATGACATACATATCCGAGAAAGCTTTGACCATAAAATATCATAAATAAGAAATATGCATAATCTGATATACATATAAAACATGTTTCCATATTTTAGCATATTTTTACCGCCTTCACAACCGTAAAATTTTTGCTAAAGAAAATTATAGCTTTCATCCATGTTCCTACTTTGTAATAACTGGATTTTTGGAGTAAGGGAAGGTTATGATTTATTTCTTTGTAAACTTGTACTTTGATGATGCTTTTGAAAGACTTTCTTTTGTTGATGCAGTTAATGTTGTCCACATTCTGAAAGTCTAGGAAATGCATACACAAGGCATGTAATATGAGCCATGTTAGAATAAAGAATATTCAGTACTTCTGCATTTAACAGCTTTTAAAGGGCAGTATCTGGTATGAATAATAATAAATTATCTTATTTATTTGTCGAAACCGTGTTTTTTTCTTATTGTTTCTTCTAATTCAATGTCACGACTTGGTGCATTTATCAACACTTGGCAAATAATTTCATCATCCACTTTTAATTCATACAGATACACGTTTCGGGCTTTTGCCCCTGCCCTGTTCAGTCTTAGAGGGGCAAAAGCCTGAAACGCATATCTGTATGAATTAAAAGTGGATGATGAAATTATTTGTCAAGTGTCGATAAATGCACCAAATCGTGACATTGAATTAGAAGGAATAAATTATCTGTTATGAGTAATAAATAATAATAATAATAATTTCAAAGGAAGAAAAATTACTATTACTCATAACAGATGTCATTCTTCCACAGTTGACCTAGATTGACAATTAGGCTGATAATTAAAATTTTCTAATTAATTTTCATCCTAATAATTTCATTCCTGTTGAGGTTAATAAATGGATTTTAAAAAGAAAAGATTTAAAGTTTTAGCAAGAAAATCTTATGCAATGAATTGTTTATAAACCTTGTTACTATAGAATGATTTGTCTTTTCAAAGTTGGGACTTTCTCACTGTTTCTGGTGCAAGTTTTGCAATCAACAAGTTAATGATATTTCTTTCCCATTTATCTGTTGTCAGAAAAAAAGGAAAAATAAATTTTTCTTGGTTTTCTCTAATATTCTGTAACAGATAAAACATAAAATGAAATAAATATAACAGCTACTTTATGGTAGGATAAACTATAAAATTTATGCTAAATTAGAAAGGAAGAAAGGAAATAAAAGAATAACTTTTCATAACAGGATTCCAGATAGTTTTTAAGTGTTGATTTGTCACACATCATTTCTCTAAGAAATGTTTAAATTCATAGATGTTTACCTTGCCCAAGGTATAGTACATTGGCTGCTAAAAATGCAAAGCACATCTCAAAACTAAACTCATTTTTTCTTTGCCCTTCAACTGGTACTTGAATAACTTGGCTGACATTTCTACTGATATGTAAAAGACAGTCAAACTTTGGTATTTGATTTTCCTACATATCAGCAATAAAATTTGGGGATTAATGATGATTATTTACTCATTTCTCAGTTTATATAATAATTGATTTACAGTAGAGCGTCGTTTATTTGAATCAATTGGGGACTGGGGTTGTTCAGATAACTTACTTTTTGGATAACCAATTATGTACGAAAAAATATTCCATGTTGAAATTTTTTTTCATTGCGTGTCACTTCGCATTGAATCTTTGTCGATGTTAAGCCTAATGTAAACTTTTTTAAATAATAATCGTGGCTATTGTATCATTAAAAATTATTTCTTTATTTTTTACAAACAAAATAAATATATTGAAAAATATAAAAACAAAAAAAAATTATACCTTAGAAGTTACTGTAGTATCAAAAACGTTTGATTCAGCACGACACACAGTCCTCAGAAAAACACCACACAAAAGTACCAGTGCTGCCAGCTAAAACACACATCAACAAAAAAATATTGGAGTAGCCCAAGATATAGCCAAAGATTGCAGCGCCACAGCACTAGCGAAAATTTAAATTTGCTGACTGGAATTCTTTCGGATAAATGATGCTCTACTGTATTTATTTTACTTAGTTTTTTTTTTTAATCTTTAATGTTATGCAGAATTAGATATTCCAAGATTACTCTTGGGAATGTTTAATGTAATTATAATTTCCAAAATTATACTAGAAATAGTTTGCATAGAATTTACAATATTTTATATTAATATTATACTGATTATACTGATACTGATGATTGTGATATTAACAACTGAATGTCTTCATATGTTTGTTTATGCAAACAGAAATAACAATTTGGATAGTTATTCAGTGCTAAAAAGTTTATATCTATATTATATAATTATTTTTTACTGCAAAAATTCATATTCTTACTTAGTTATAATAATCATCAAATAAAATCAAAGATAAATTAATGGCATATAGAAATGTAATGCTAAAAATCATTTTATTATTGTTATTTTAATTTTATTGCTATTTAAAAGGTAATATCTATGTTTTAAAATAAAGCTAGTGAATCTTTAACTATTTCAGAATTAAAAAAACTATATGTTTCATTTTAGGGTGCTTGTATTATACAATGTTTAGCCACATGGTTATACATTTCAATAGAAGAATCAGAATCTAATGAAGGATCATTGGAGAAAACTATTGATGATTTAGAAAATATAATGACCATTGCAATAAAAAAAGGAAAAATCATATTACTGCAAAAAGGACTTTTATTGTTTTTACCAGTAATGTATTAAAAATATAATTATTGATATTTGATTTTACAGTATGTTAATTCTTACTATTTTCAAAAGTTTTATATAACATCATAAATTATTTAATTTTTAGGATTCACTTTTATTATTGCTTATAAATTATTTAGTAACTTTTATGGTTAATAAACAATATGAATCAAGCACTGAGTATTTGAGAGAATTTCAAAGACATTTTTGGAACGTAAGTGAAAATTATTAATAATAATATGTGAAATTTTTATGATATATATGATGATATTAATTTTTGAATTGCATAAAGTGTAAACATAAATATGATCATTTGTAATTATTGCAATTATATTTTTAGTTTTCAGATGAAAAAAATGAAACAAATATTTTAAATGAAGTCAAATGGATAGAAAAAATGAGTGTTAAGCTTTTAACTTCTTCCATTATTTCCTGTGAAACTATATACGAGAAAATATTGATGTCTGGTCATTTTTATTTTGCTAAAATACAGAACATGTTTCCTACTGTTGGTATGTACTGTACTACTGTATTATTAAATATTTTATGTTTTATAGTTAATTTTGTAACCAAATATAATACTCTTTTTTAGAAAATGTACCAGACTTCAATAAATTATATAAACTACTTCAGTATGTTGGAGATCTTGATATAGATATTAATCTAGAGGATATTTTAGATGATGAGCAAAGTGAAAAGTATAAAGAATCATGCACTTCTATTATAGAGAAATTGCAACAACAGCAGCAAAATAATGATGCTTATATGTTTGCTAAAATTGCCAAACTACCACTGGATGAAATACTTCTATGTCAGGTGAAAAATTTTTTATAAATTAATATCACTTACTTTCTGGGTATTACTATGTAAGTTCTCAGTAGACAGATACCACACATTCTGTAAATTAGGAAGCCATACTAGGTGTTTCAATGCCTTTAATTAAGTAGAATTTATTTAAATGCCCTTAAATACATTGAGGCCTACATACATACATTCATACATAGCCTTTAAATAGCCTTTAACCCCCTTGCTACTTTCCAATTTTTGATATTAATGGAATTAAACATAAAAAATACTTAAAACTGAAAAAAACGAAGGAAATGCGTTAATTTTGAAGAAAAAGCTTCAAACTTTATTTTCCATTCTCTTGCCTTTCTGTGAAATTTGACACTGATGAGTCATTGTTTACACAGCTGGATGACCTTGAGAACAGCTGTTGTCGGATTTACCGGGACATTCTCAGACGTCTTGGGAGGACAAGGGTTTAAAGTAGGGTGAATACTAGCTGGCCCTATATTTTTAAATATTTTTAAAAAATTAAAATTTTTATTGCAATTTTCGACCCCCCCAACTTAATTAAACGTATATATAATAAATTATATTAATTAAAAAACTATTGGAGGTCGTTTTTGACATCAGAAACTAGCTTTAAATAACTTTACCGAAGTAAAATCCATGCACTACTTTAGAATGATTAATTAAATTTGATAAAAAAAAATCACATTAAAAAACAATTAAGCGTTAATCGCACATCATTAAAGGTTGATTGAAATCGCGATAAAATTTTTTCGGGCAGGTAAAAATTTTTGAAAAAATTTGGAGACCTAAAAAACATCCAAAAATTGAAAAAAAAATTTTTTTTCGGGGCCCAAATGCCCGAGTTTTATGTAACGCTATGGAACTTGCCCAAGTTAACTCAGGATATGGGCGTGACGGGTTTTAAATAGAGGTACTTTAATACCCAGTGTGGCTTTTAGTTTACAGAAAACATGGTATCTGTCTACTGAGAATTTACATGATATAAACTAAGAAAATGAACAAAAAACAACGTACCAGGAACCTGTTGCCTGTGTGCTTCTCGGTAAAAAAGCGTTACAAATGTTTTTGAACTTGTTAGTTCTTCTTCAGGTAACAGACTTCTAAGCGAATGCCATTCAAATTCAATTCAAATAAGAACACCATTAAGAATTCTATCGCACGTATCGATGGCGTCATTGACGCATGCGCCCCTTTGCTGGTTGTAAATTATCGTAAGTTCTTGTCTACGAGCACCTGCCATGCAGTTGACAGGGTGATTTCGTCTTTGTTGTTAATACAATTGTCGTCTTTTAGTGTAGCCATATACAGCCATGTATACATGGCTGTATATATTTAGAGGCCATGTATACATAAAGTGATTGTAGACATGGCTGTATATATTTAGAGGCCATGTATACATATATACATGGCCTCTAGCCATCTAAGGTGGTGTGTGTATTTTGTGGTGCGGATTACCTTGGCCTGGCTGAATAACGGCTCTATTTCCGTATCTGAGGCATAGATGGCTAGAGCGGTGGTTTGCCTTGCATGTAGAATATCCGCCATGTGTTCTTTTATTCTCACCTCTAAGAAGCGCTTAGTGGGTCCTACATAGATCAGGTTTCTGTTCCATCTATGGTCTATAATTGGGATGGTGTACACCCCTGGGAGTCGTTCTTTGTTGGGGGTATCTTTCCCGTTCCATAAAATATCGAAAATTGTCGCGAATCTTCTACATGCAATGCGAATATTCTTTTTCTTGGCTATTGTGTTGTAAAGTGATTTCAGGTACGGATTGTATGTAACTGGGATGATATTAGATGGAACTTCATCAACTTCATCACTTTACAACACAATAGCCAAGAAAAAGAATATTCGCATCGCATGTAGAAGATTCGCGACAATTTTCGATATTTTATGGAACGGGAAAGATACCCCCAACAAAGAACAACTCCCAGGGGTGTACACCATCCCAATTATAGACCATAGATGGAACAGAAACCTGATCTATGTAGGACCCACTAAGCGCTTCTTAGAGGTGAGAATAAAAGAACACATGGCGGATATTCTACATGCAAGGCAAACCACCGCTCTAGCCATCTATGCCTCAGATACGGAAATAGAGCCGTTATTCAGCCAGGCCAAGGTAATCCGCACCACAAAATACACACACCACCTTAGATGGCTAGAGGCCATGTATATATGTATACATGGCCTCTAAATATATACAGCCATGTCTACAATCACTTTATGTATACATGGCCTCTAAATATATACAGCCATGTATACATGGCTGTATATGGCTACACTAAAAGACGACAATTGTATTAACAACAAAGACGAAATCACCCTGTCAACTGCATGGCAGGTGCTCGTAGACAAGAACTTACGATAATTTACAACCAGCAAAGGGGCGCATGCGTCAATGACGCCATCGATATGTGCGATAGAATTCTTAATGGTGTTCTTATTTGAATTGAATTTGAATGGCATTCGCTTAGAAGTCTGTTACCTGAAGAAGAACTTACAAGTTCGAAAACATTTGTAACGCTTTTTTACCGAGAAGCACACTGGCAACAGGATCCTGGTACGTTGTTTTTTGTTTACTTTAACCCGGTGTAGTACATTGCCTATTGGACTAAGAAAATGTTTTAATTTCTACTGTATTTTGCTCATTTTTCTATTTATATTCATTAAATCCTAATAATCTTAATTATCTGAAATTAATATAATTATTGAATTCAGTCATTAACTTTTTTCATATATCTATAAAAAAAATAATTTTTTGACTTCTGTCAAAATAATAAAACAGTCATTAGATGATTGGATTTTCAGGGCAGATTTACAGACTTCTTAAAATAGCATACTTTTATGTTTTTCGTGATCTGTTATTTTTCTGTATATTCAGAAATATATTAGCTGATTGTTTTATAAACAAAAGAATAATTGTTGAGTGCCTGAAAGTTTACAATATCATGTTCTCCACAAAAATTTTCATCAAATAGGTCATTGTTTCTTTTTCTTCATTTTTCCTTAAATTTGAATCTTAGTTAACCCTGAGAATTCATAAAGTTTATTCTAATCTCTGAGCAATCAGGATTCTTGGAGCTTTCTATACTTACAAACTTATCTACAAAATACTACTGAGAATTTGTTTGCAATTTTATTTTTATAATTTACTACCTGAAATAAAACCATTTAAGAAACTGATATTCAAAAATTCTTTTTATTTGTGTTTTATATATTTCTAGGACTTTTCAGTCCTATTTTCTGATATTGGTTGTTATTAGTTTGGTTCTCATTAATTGTTTAAAGATATTTTCATTTTTTTTTTAAATAGATCTCAAATGAGACAAAAAAAATAAAGAAATTATTGGATTGGAATGATCTAAAGAAAAGAATTCAATACTGGAAACAATGTGCTAATGTTTTTAAAATTGGAAATATTAAGCCTGAAATACCTGCTTATTTCTTTAAGGTAACTATTTTATTTATATAAATACATTAAGGGGCTAAGTTTGTTCATTTTCACAGAAAAGCAAACTTAGGGAGTCGTACTCATAGCGCCATCTGTTGGACATAAAAACACATGCGTATTCGAATACAGTGTTGTGTCAAAATTTCAAAGGAATCGGTAGGAACAAACGAATATTACATTTTTATTTATATAAATACATAAAAGATGATCTGCTTTAGTTCATTTTCACAGAAAAGCAAAACTTAGGGTTATGTACTCANTTACATTATGAAATAAAATAGAACAAGCAATTATTTATTGTGACATCATCACAGTACTGGGGCTGCAATTTTTAATCATGTTTTTAATTTATTTAATTTAAGATATATGCACTCCACCTCAAATTAGTAGTGGCCTGCCCCTGTACATCATACTTTTCCTTTAACAGTAGGGTTGTGCAGATCATCTATTAACTGCTTTCTGGGGATGTTTTGAATTGAAATAATGTGACTTCTGGTTTATATATAGTTCATCAGGCCTCCTGCCCCTAATCTTTCCATATCTTTCTTGGATTTCATCTATCTAACTCAGTTCTTGAAATTAAGGAAAGATGGATGGATGACAATGAGAATTTATAGTTCAGCCAAATTGCAACTAAATAAATAAAACTATTCTTCTGTTGTTTGAAAAACGTTTTGGAGTTTACGTCCAGAACAGATTAAGCATTAAAGCCATATTCTGTACTAGCATTACTAAAACTGTAGTGTCCGGGCCAAATTCAACCCATGGCACACATTAATTCAGCCTGAAAACATATTTGACACATCACTTACAAATGATATATATAGTACAAAAAATAGGCCTATTTCTATATGGAATATACAAAATGTTTATGATGCATCAATCAAAAAGTTTAGGCATCACTTTTCTATATTATGAACATCATACTCAATTTCAAAATTCAGTTATTGGTAAGAACATTTTGCAAATAAAATTAAATAAAGCATTTAATACTTTTGAACTGGAAAAAATTATTTGTGTAGAGCAGGGGTCACCAAAGTGGTCGATATCGACCCCCAGGGGTCATTGCAACATCATTGGGGGGTTGATGCGGCTAAGGGGTCACAATCTTTTTTTTTTTTTTTTGCTTAGACAGAGACCACAACGTTTTTTTTTTTTTCGCTCATACACATACACTTGTAATAAAACTTTACAGTGGGGGGTCAATGTGAGGCTTTCAAAAGTGATTGGGGGTCGACGGTTAAAAAAGTTTGGTGACCGCTGGTGTAGAGTATGAATTTAAGAAATTAAATATTACAGAATCAATGATTGAACAAAGTTCTAAACATTTTTATCATGAAGTTATTTTAATTTTTTTAGTATTTATTTTCAATTTTTCTTTTCATAATCACTTAGTTTACTTATTTTACATCATAATTCTCAAAGATGTGAAATAGTGATAAATAATTTGTAAGTTATACTGCAATGGTTAAAATAATTGTTTATACTGTACTAAATCAATTTATTAAATTGTAAATAAATAGTAATGCATTCAACTACAATACTTAAATTAACTTAATCATTTAATAATGAAAATAATTTTCCATATAAATATTTACTTTGAATCACTCCCTAATCCTTTTTGAGGATCTAGATTGTATTTGTTTTGTATATATACTAAAATTGGAATGATGCAGAGAAAATTAGCATGATTCCTATGCAAGGATGACATTCAAAATTGTCAAGTGTTTCATATTCTTTTGGAAGCCAAATGGCTGAAACATAAGACATCCTACCCCTCAGAATACCTAGGACCAAATCTGGATGGACAACCAATTCCAGATATGTTGGGTCCCATCTCTCACTCCTGGCTACTCCCATATTATTCAGATGTGGCTGTACAATCATGAGTTATTGAACAAAGTACATGTTTACTTCTGAATGAATTGCCCTATATTTTCCATCTTGTAAAATCAATTTTACTGTTTATAAAGAAAGTTAACAACAATAATTGTAAATGATTAACTAAAGTATGCTTTTATCTTTTTTCAACAATGTTAAGAGGGGATCTGCTCTACATTTTAAGGTATAAATGAAACAAACTTTTTGGAAAACTATCATTTTACTTTTAGAAATGTTCTAACAATTTTTTTTTAATTCTTATCTAATTTAATATATTTTCAAAAATTTTAAATTACTTTTTATTTTTGTTGTTGTTATCTATTTATTATAGGAAGAATGTGATTTGGCAGATTCCTATGTTGAAAAGTATATTTTAATAAAGTTAGCAACTGATTGGTTTATGAAAGCACCATCACTTTCTGAAGACATTTTCAAAGTGCTAAATGAATGGGATGTAAATTTATGGCTGTATTGCATTAAAGGAATAGTGGAAATGAAAGTAAGTAGAAATTATGTATTTTTTTATTAAATTTGTTATATACAGGTTGTTTCATGAGGAAATGGCAACATTTTTACAGCATGTTCAGAGCCATGGGGGGATTCAAAACTCTTATAAACATAACCTTTCAAATAGACACCCCCAAATGCCATAAATAATCAGGCTATAATTTGGAAATAATGATTTTTGAATTACAAATTAATTTGACACTAGAGGGAAGCATTAGGTGCCATCTCATATTAAAATTAATAATTATAATATTTAATTAAATAATTTAGATTAAACTGGAAGAAAAGAATCAGCCTGAAGCGGGACTAGAACATGTAACTTTTGCTTACCATGTGAAAATTGTGGGTGTCTATTTGCTATATATCAGGTTTTGGTTGGTGTTTATATTTGTATAAGCCTTCAAACACATTGTTTCAATACTAGCAGTTAAAGTTCAGTTGAGCTACTCCTTAAGATGATGCTCTGCAGCACTGATAAGCACTGCAGAATATCCTTAGTCATGCTTCCCTTCAGCTTTTTACCTTTAAATCCTTATGTATTTGCAAAAGCATGAAGTTTATTTGCATTTCATGGCTCTTTAGTACAACACAGAAAGGCAGCAAGATTGAGGCTTTACTGCAGTGTTATTCAATTCTACAGACAAACATCTAAGGAATAGCTAGTTTGAACTTTAACTCCTCTTAGCACCAAAACAATAAACAGTGTGTTTGATGACCATGTTTATAGGACATTTTTGAAATCTCTAGGTCTTTAGAACATTCTATAAAAATATTGCCACTTCCTTGCAAAATACCCTGTACACATGTTAAGGCTAAAGCTAGGATTAACTGGCTACTAGTATCTTTATCCAGGTTTTTTTGGTTAAAGCAAATAACAATTTATTTATTTTGAATTTATCTCTATAAAGTATGCATTATTCAAGTTACAAGTGGATAAAGTTGACATTATCCAAAAACAAATAAAGGAAGCAAGAAGAAAATTAACATTTCACATTATCTGGATAATATCAGAATTTTATCTTTTCTTGTTTTGATTGAGCTGAATATAGATGTTGCCTTTTTATAGCTACAAACATTTTGTTTTTTTTATATACTATGTGGCTAGTGGGAATAGCAATGTTGCCAGGTCTGGCAATATGATGATGATTCTTTCATGTATTTACCAATATAATGTAGTACCAGAGATTACAACTGAAGAGAACACACAAAAGTTAAAAGTTTTTTGAACATACTGGAACGCAGCCTTTATTTGAGTAAAGTGTCACAAAAGAATGGAAAAAAGTCAAAAACTTTATCTGAGGATTCTTTATCTTTTTGAAATGTATGTGTATTGCTATGATTAACCCTGATATATGCCATTTAAGATCTAGATACATATTGGTTATCTGCAAATAAAAGTAGTTAACTTACTATTATTTTAAAGCTACAATATTTTTAGCTAAATCTGATGATTTTGTTTCTTTTTATGTGGATCATCACTCCATAACAATGCATGCCTTTTGTCAGTGTTCTTCATTTTCATATCCATATACAGTACATATTTTAGTAACTTTATCTAAGCCTATGAAACAAACATATAAAACTTGCAGCTTAAACTTTATTATGCTTAGAAATACATAATAATTGATAAAATATTGCACTTGGTATGCAATAAAATGATTTATTGCATAAAAAATGTGTGAAACCAATAAATTTTTATACTTTTTATCTATATGAGACTAAACAATAAACTAATGTAAAATATTTACTGTGCAGTAGGAAAAAAAATGTCAAGAGACAATATACAGATCTGAGTGAGCAAACAAAATTGAAAATGGCATCACATATACTATTTCACTTATGGCTAATTTTCCATTACCCTAGTATCAGAGTTTGAGAGAGGATATGCTCTTTTTTAGTGCATAGATCATTAAAATCATCATTTTTAGCTTCAACTGTAACTAAGATAAAATGAACAGCTTTTCAAAATATTATTGCCTTATTTGTCTGTTTAATATAGATGTTTCTCTAGATAAAAAAAAATACAGTATCTTGTTCAACTGTCAAGTACAATTCATAATTAGTTGTGCAATGAATTATAACTTTTGCATATGGTCTAACAATATGTAGTGTAAACAGTACAGTTATTAGCTGCTTAAGAAAATTTTTATTTTAAAAATTCTATGATGTAACAGAAAGATTAGTTCAAGAAATATTACACTTCTGATCAAATTATTTTTTTATAGCCTTTCTACTGCCAACATCTAAAAATAAAATGCCAATCATTTAACCAAAAATGTGTTTTGTTGTACAAAATTCAAAATTGTATAATTATTGGTCAAATGCAATGATAGAAATACTGTACTGCCATGCAATATTTTTAAAGTAGCTTTTATAGAACTTTTATTAAAAAGATTTAAATTTGAAATCTATATCTATACTATATTATAAAGAGTAAGTTTGATTTGAAGTTTAGATTTGAAGAGTAAGTAAGTAAGTAAGTTTGATTTGAAGAGTTTGTTTGTAAGTTTAGATGTAAGAGGTAATCTCTGAAACTACTCATCCGATTTCAAAAATTCTTTCACCAATATTTAGAATGGAGCTTCAGGGTTGACATAGGCTGTATATTATTCCGTTAAACATTTATATAAATTAAAATATATCATCTAGGAATAAGGCTTTTATGTCCAACAGATGGCGCTAACTCCGTGAGTACAATGACCTAAGTTTGTTTTTCTGTGAGGATGAACTAAAGCATCCTCACAGCTTCTATCTATCTATATAAATAAAAATGTAATGTTCGTTTGTTCCTACCAATTCCTTTGAAATTTTGACACAACGTTGCATTTGAATATACACATGTTTTTACATAATATACATGTCAAAATTCCCGCACTGGGGGGAGATGGACAGGATTAAGGCTTACCGTGAACAACTTGGCTTATATTATACTATTTTAGATGTGGTTTTTTATGTTTTTGATTGCATTTTAATACAGTACATCAAGAGAATGTACACTAAGAAGGAATTTTTTGAAAAATTTTCAAAAAATTCGTTCTTAGTGAAGTGTTATACATTTATAATAGATACATTTTGAGCTACAACAATGCGTGGTGGGGTCTGCTAGTGGCCAGTAATGGTACTGTCTACCCTATATAAACAGCATTCATTATTGGCAACTTCTAGAAAGGACAGTATGGCTCTGTTTTTTGGCTATCATGTTTCTCAGACTTAGTTGTTTTGAACATGTTCTCTAATAAACTAAGACTCATTTTTGTTTGTATCAATTCTGCAATGTTGTCTTTATCTTTTACAATAGGAAATTATTTATATATTATGCTAAATCATTATAAATTGATTCCCTTTGGTTATTTTGGTGGCAGAACAAGCATGTACCATGTGCATGTACTCAAGCAATACTGGAAAGATCTCATCTCTGGATAGATATTTAAGAAGACACCCTGTATACATGAAATTAACATCAGTATAATCTAAGAGACATTTGAGTTTCAAAAATGAATCTAAACAAATTCAGAATTATGAATTCAAATATGTTTGGTTTATATTATTGAAAATTTTTACTTTTTGTATTTTTTAGAAATTGAATTTAGAAGATTTAATAGTCTCAGAAATTGAAAGAAATTGTGAAGACTTTTTTGATTGTCATCAGGAAAATTTAAATACATCATATTTTCCTCTAAAACTGGAAACTGATGAGGTAATATATATTTATTTATATTTGTACAGTACAGCCTCGATTATCCGACTCAATTGGGGACTGGGGTTGGTCGGATAATTGAAAAGACGGATAACCGAAAAGTATGAAAAAAATCCATTATTAGTGTAGTATATTATTATATCCCATGTAATTAGTATATTAGTATATCGCTATTAACCTACTTCGCGTTGAATTTTCATCGATGTTAAGCCTAACAAAAATTTTTTAAAATAATAATCGTCGCTATTGTATCGTTAAAAATTAGAAAATTAAGCCTCGTTTAAATACTGGCTCCCTTTCATGGTCGATTCAGTGTTGCCAGCTAAAACATGTAAAAATAATATTAAAGTAACCGAGACATAGCCAAATATTGTAGCGCCACATCACTAGCGGACATTTGAAATTTGCCAACTAGGACGGTCGGTTAACCGAGGTGTCGGTTAATCGGGGGTCGGATAATCGAGGCTCTACTGTATATTCATAAGATTAAAAATATTAAAATACTAAAAAAATTGTTTTGAGAAGTTGTTATATTTGTTCTATTATTGTCTATTAAATACTGTTGTATATATATATAATACTGCTTTAATATTTTCTGTCCAGTTGTTGGAAATGTATGATATATCATATAGTTTTGATGAATTTATATTTCATAGTTGTTTACATGTTACTAACTTAGTTATTTGATTTTAAAATTAAATTAACTATAAATGGAAATTATTTTGTTAGATTTTTCCATTAAATTCTAATTTATCTTAAGTAGATACCATATATTTTTAACTGCATAATACAATTAAAAACATTTTTATCATATAATAGCAATATTTAAAATAATTTTTATTTATATTAAATGAAATAAAAGTAATCATTAATATAATTTTATAATTATAAAAAGATGACTTAATAATAATAAAAAGTTTTATTTAGGAAATACTGATTTTAGAACAAATAATTGGAAAATTATTGAATGCAGGAAATTTAAAACAAGCTCAAAAACTTAATAATCTATTTTTCCATAAAAGTAAGGATGTTAACATTGTAAAAGTAAGTGATAAACATTTTATTAGTAGTTTTATCACTTTGATTGTATTTTTTTATATTCATATATAGTTTTTATTTCTAAAAAGTTTTATTTATTTTTAGATATGTTTGAACCTTGCGCAGGAAATTATTCTTCCAACTAATCCAGAAGTTGTCTCATTGATATCAGAAATTGAACAATCAATGTATTTTCCTCAAAATAAAATTTTTGGAGGTAATTAAATAATAATAAGTTGAATCAGAGATATCTAAATTCATCATCATCATTTATTGTTCATTGGGAATTACATCCCTATTACAAGGGGGTTGCATTTACATGTTTACTTATTTTTTTATTTTACAATACTTTTTTATTTTAAAGTTACACTTATTTTCCACGAATACATTTAATTTGAATCTTATAATTTTATTATTCCATTTCACTAATAATAGCATAAATTAAGATTATATTTGTATTAATTTGTTTTGTTTTTATAACTATCTATTATTTTACAAAAAAAAGTTATAAATTTTATATAGATCTTTTTTACTCATTTTGTTAAAGTTTTTCAACAGTTCTATTAGCGAGTTGCATTTACAAATTCGGGTTATATCATAGTATTCACGAATTTCTCTTAATACAGTATTGGACATTTCAATATCAAATAACAAGGTGTTAAGTCGTCAAAGTTACATAAAAAACATTTTGTTAATAAACTTATATAAGTGTTGTTAATATACAATGAATATTTATTTAAACGAAGTTGTACTATAAGTCTTTTTACATTCAAATTTACCGAATGCAACATGTATGATTGAACTGATGGGTGAACGGAGAAATATGACTCCAACTTTTTAATGTTTTTAAAACTATTTTTTAAAGTACATAGATCATCAGGTGAAATATAAGCAATTAACAATATTATTAAATTATTCGTTTTATTTACCTACATAGGCTTCTGTAATGAGATAAGAAGTAGCATATAATTGTTGAATTTTCTTATGTCAATTATTTTACCAAAGTTCTTTTTTATTAAGATACATATACCTCCGCTTGTCCGACCCAGTCCAGTAGGTTTTTGTGCTTGAATCGCTTCCACTATATAATCATTGAAAAATTTATTATTATAATACAAATTCGAAGTAATCCAAGTTTCAGTAATTGATAAATTATCCGGCTCATATTTAACGCAAAAGTTTTTTTTT